GGGGGAGGGGGAGAGAAGAAAGAAAGAGTCGGGGTGAGGAGGGGGAGAGGGAGGAGCCGAGCCCAGGCCAGGCCAGGCCCCCTTAGGGAATGCTGCTCGGGAAGGTGCCTGCTAAGGGGAAAAGGGTGGGTGCCTGGGGAGGGGGCTGCTCCACTCTGGCCTGTGTGCTTTGCATTTTCTTAATTTAGGGGAAAGGGCAAGCTGAAAGTGGGGGCGACAGGAAAGGCCTGTGACTTGAGTACAGAAAGACTAGAACAGACCCAGAGAGCAAGTTTAGCCTCTCTGGAGAGGAAGGAGCTTTGCTGCTAAAACTTTACCGCAATTAAAGAAAGTTTTTCTTTCTTGGACTTCAGGGATGCTCTTGTGATCAAATGCTATTGAGTTTTCATTCATTCACACATGTTTTGTTGTATAATATCAATAAAATTAATGAACGTGACTCATTAATTATAATGTCTCATTAGTCCCTTATATTCTTTATTGCCTTGCCCTTCAACCAACTTTAAAAAGTGTTTGTTTTCTATTTATTAGGGAGATCTGGTGATTAGTGTTAAGGAGTTTCATTGCCAACTCAAAGGCACACGGTTCAAATCCACTAGCTGCTCTATGAAGAAAAATAGGCAATCTCCTCTAATGCGATCGACCTAGAAGACCAACCAGCTGTGGGTCAATTCCATCTTGACGGCACACAACAATAAAAACTTAATTTTGGGTTTGTTTTATTGTGATCCCCCCCCCCTTTATTAATTTTTAACTTTCCTCTCAAACCCTCTGCTGGGAACCATCCAAGAATGATTCTGTGTATAAACCTTTCCTGAGCTTTTTATATTCATGATCTTATGCCATAATTGTCCTTTTGTGACTAATATATGCCCCTCAGCATTATTTCCTCTAGATTGGTAAGAAACATTTTCAGCATCTCTTGGAAGAAGTAGTGACATCCACTTCCTAAATAATATGCTTCTGGAAACTCAATGAACTTTGATACATGTTGATAGTTGTAGAGGGGCTTCAGGCCTTTGTTCATAGGGTCGCTATGAGTCATGATTGACTTGAAGGCAATCAACAACAACATCAACTTGTCTAATTAGAAGTAGAAGTTTTTTTAAATGAATGCTGGTATTCCCTGCTTTTCCCCATTACTTTTAAAAATACCTGTTTGCCATTCTGATAATAAACACTCTATTAGAACCATACACAATGTGTTGGTTTTTCTAAATAAATGTCTGTCTTACATATGCAGTGAGGTTGTTGTTGTTGTTGTTGTTATGTGTCGTCGAGTCGCTTGCGACTCATTGCGACTCTATGTACAACAGCCCTAAACCCTGATCTGTCCTGTGCCAATCTCACTGCCTCTGACACACCCATCCCGATTACCCCAGTCACTAAATCAATCCACCTCATAGAGGGTCTTCCTCTTCTGCGCCGTCCCTCCACCCTCCCAAGCATGATGTCTCTCTCCAAGGACCCCTCTTCTGCGCCGTCCCTCCACCCTCCCAAGCATGATGTCTCTCTCCAAGGACCTCTCTCTCCTTACAATATGCTCAAAGTATGTCAGACGAAGCCCAGAATCCTTGCCTCCAAGGAGCAGTCTGGTTTAACCCTCTCCAGGATGAATCTGTTTGTTTTCTTGGTAGTCCAGGGTACATTCAATACTCTTCTCAAGCACCACAGCTCAAAGGCATCAATTCTCCTTCTATCCTCCTTGGTCATTGTCCAACTCTCTGATGCATAACAAGTGATTGCAAAGAGCATGGCCTGTATGAGATGTACCTTAGTCTCCAGAGTGACACCATTTCTCTTCAGTACCCTGGAGAGGTCCCTAACAGCAGACTTTCCCACCACAATACGTTTTTTGATTTCCTGGCTATTGGTGCCAAGAGTATTGACCGTGGAGCCAACCAGATTAAAGTTGTTAACAATCTCAATCTCTTTACCATTCATCCTGATGCTGCCAATTGGTCCAGTGGTGAGAATCTTTGTCGTCTTGACATTGAGCCTCAATCCATACTGAAGGCTGCAGTCCTTGACCCTTTGCAGCAAGTGTTTGAGGTCCTCCTCAGTTTCAGCAAGCAGGCTTGTATCATCTGCATAATGCAGATTGTTAATAGATCTTCCATGAATCCTGACGCCACACTTCTCCTCATAGAGCCCAGCCTCTCAGATAATTTGTTCTGCATATAGGTTGAAAAGGTATGGAGATAGGACACATCTCTGGCATATGCCTTCCCCAATTTTGAACCATGCAGTGTTTCCTTGCTCTGTTCTGACAACTGCCTCTTAGCCCAAGTATAGGTTTTGCACTAGAACGATCAAGTGTTATGGGATTCCCATTCTTCTCAGAGTCAGTGATAGTTTGTTATGATCCACACAGTCAGTGCATAATTAATGAAACACAGATAGACATTCTTCTGGTATTCCCTGCTTTCAGCTAAGATCCATCATCAGCTACAATATCTCTAGTATCACGATTCCTTCCGGCAGTTCTCTGCTGATGTGCTGTTCCTGTCGTTTTTGGATAATCTGCAGTGATAGTGTTTTAAAATAACAAGATAACATAAAACACTGAAAACAGCTTTCTTGAGACAACATTTTGAGATAAACCTTACTTACAGGAGTCCTGGTAGCTTGGTAGATAAGCTCTCCGCTGCTTACTGGGTCAGTGGTTCGAAACTTGCAGCAGCTCCACGGAAGACAGATGTGACAATCTGCCTCCATAAGGATTTTCAGGATTTCCTTGTATGCTCTGTGTGCGCAGTCACACTTTGTCCAGCGAGGGAGCTATGAGTTGGAATTAACTATGAGTTGGAGTTGCAGTGTTTTATATCACTTACAACACTCTATTGCAGTAGTTTCTTTACTTTCCACGACTTCACCTCCACCTTCAACTGATTTTGAGAGGTCAAAACCCAAGGCTATCTCCTTCACTGTTATATCTCCAGTGCCTAGCAGCAGTATAAGCACAGAGAGCTACCATTTGCCAAAGAAAGAAATAACGGAATGAGTATATTCCCATAGTACCAGAAGCTCACTTAATGATTCTTTTAGCAAGAAAAAGCTAGGAATTCTCAACTTTTCAATGATGGGGTTTTGTCTCTTTGATTTCTGTATTGTCTGTATCATGTTTGGTAGAAAAGATTTGGGATTTTTTTTTATTATGAATTTCTCCACTAATTTCAGAAATCATTTGAGAATGGCACTGGAAAGACCCACTGCCATCAAGTCTATTCTGACTAATGGGGCATTCTAGTTATTTCCTGAGACTATAAATATCACAGAGGAGCAGATTACCTTCTCTTTCTCCCAGTGACTTAGGACAACAGGAGTTACTAATGTGATCTTATAAAGGAACTCTAGGGGTATAGTCTATAGGTAGTTAACACTATCAGCCCCAACACTGAACCTTGCTAGTGGTTCAAATCCACTAGAAGCTCTGAGGTAGAGAGATGTACAATCTCTTCTTATGAAATTTATAGCCTGGGAAACTTAATAGAGGGTCAGTTATAAGTCATTTCACTAAACAGCAATGACTTGAGGGGAGGGGTTTGTTTTGTTTTTATTTTTGTTTCACGATCCTGTAGGTTGATTGTATAATTACCCTGTCTTGCTTGGGTTTACTCAAGTGGCTGGAGCTGGCAGGCAGACTGGTATATAGGTTCAGTTTTGATGGTTTAAATGACTGGGTATCTCCATATAATCTTTCTTATAAAATTTTTCATATTTCTGTTAGCCTCAAAGCAGTTTCTATGAGGGTGATAACTCAAACCACAATACCTAAGCTCTGATTCTCAAATTCATTGTCACCACATTCTGTTGGTGATAGGATATCCCTTCATCAGCAATGTCACTCTGCAACAGAGCATGAAGTCATGATATTATATAATAATCTACCACAGTAATTCATATTGGTCTACAAACAAACTGCACTCACCCACTGCTAAGACCCCAAAAGTTTCATTTAATTGCCAAAGTCTAGGATCATATAATCAAAAATTAAGTCTAGATGTTCCATGGGCTTGCTTACACAGATACATCATCAGTGAATTAAAAAGATATGAACTAAAAAGATAAATTGTAAATTGTAAATTTCTTATTGCCTACAGCAAAGGAGAGGAAGACCTTCATCAGGATTCATTGGCACCGGGATTGGACCAATAGGCTTGAGCATGGTGGGAATTGTGCAGATTGCACCGTATGTTGATGGTGGTAGGTGCCATCAAGTCGAGCACAATTCACAATGACCTGAACCTGATGCACAACAGTTCAGAACTCGCCCTATCCTATGCCTTCCTCATTATCTCCTACATGCTTGAACATATTCTTATAGTTACTTTGTCAATCCACCTCCTGAGGGTCTTCCTTTCTTTCTCTGACCCTCCACCCTTCCAAGCATGATGCCTTTTTCCAAGCCTGCCCTCTTCCCCCGACAACATGGCCTAAGTATAGGACACAATGCATTGCCATCTTCACTTCTAAGGGGCACTCTGGTTGTGCTTTCTCCAAGAAGCATTTGATTGTTCTTCTGCTAGTCCATGGGATAGTTAGTACTCTTCTCCATCACCACAGCTCAAAGGAATTGACTCTTCTTCTGTCATCCTTATTCATTGTCCACTTCCAGAAGCATAGCAAGTAATGGAAAGACCATAATTTGAATCAGGTACAACTTTGTCTTTAAACTGGCCTCATTAATTCTCAGCACTTTGGAGAGGTTCCTGACAGC